TTAGCATTCATTCATTCATGTCAACTAGTTGTTTGCCCTGTTGATAAAGCTGAATATTACCTTTTCTCCATAGTATTCTTTCCAGGAATTTTGATCTCTAGTCTCCATACCAATTTCAAATCATATTTGGGGGGGGGGTGTTAATATATCTTTTATATTTTAAAATATATATTTATATGTTATATATTACATGGTATATATGACATTATACCCACCTCCTCTCCCGATGTTGAGACTCTGTCTGGCTCGAGTCAATGCAGGTCTTGTACATTCACAACTGCCGTGAATTGAATTCATATGTTCAACTGCCTTGTGGTCAGACGACACTGTTTCTTTCTAGACATTCACTGTCTATGGCTTACAGTCTTTCCTCCCCTTCTTTTACAATGATCCCTGAGCCTTGGGTATATACTATAAATGTTCCGTTCAGAGCCGCACCTTTTTCAGGCTCTTATTTCCTACATGTTGAACAGGTGTATCAATTACCATCTACTTCAAAAAGAATCTTCTCTGATGAGAATTGACAGATTCACTAGGCTATGACTATAATGATAAGTTGTTGGTCAGTTTAATATTCTACCCAGTGGTTTCTCCTTTAGGGTCTTTGACCTTTCTAGACATGAATTCTAGTCTCAGTGATGGTGGTAAGTGTAGGTTTCAGTTTGTGTGGCAGGTCTCAAGTCCAGTTGGAAAGTAGTTGGTTACTGCCAACGATTGGACCAATGAACAACACGTCTTGCCAGGCCAACTGTTTCTGTGGCTCATAAGGTTCATGACTGACTCAGGCTGGTGATTACTTTTCTCTCTGGTGTTATACATAGCGCTCTTAAAGCCAACAAGAGAGATGAAGCTTCCAGGTTGGTACCAGCTCCGATTCCAGTATGTGGTGTCTTCGGCATCTTAAGCGTAACGAAGAGTGTTAGCAATAGTCTTTAATGTTTGGGGGTCTATGGGACCTCACTGGCCAAGAACTCCAAAAGACATAGCCCATTCTTGGCACCGATTCTGGGTGAACCAGTCCAGACTCAGACACATATCGAGTGTTTTCTCTTCATTTGTAGATATAGTGGGTGCAGGGTGGGGGTTGACTGGTCTTTGAGACATGGACTTACTTTGAAGTCCTGGCTGGCATGGAATTTGATACTTTTGAATTCATTGAGATCTGCCTACCAAATGCTGGCATTAAAAGCCCATGACACCACACCCTGCAAAATGATTCTTTTAAAATATTTTTATTAATTTTGAGAACGACATACAATGTATTTAGATCATATTCACCCTAGCTTCTCGCAGATCCATCCCTGCCTCCCTACCCACCCAACTTGTCTCCTTTCTGTCTTTTTAAACCTATGTAGTCCAATTTGTGCTGCCCCAATACTAATGAGTGTGGGGCCATTCTCGGGACTGTGATCAACCTATGAAGAGCTCCACCCTTAAAAATTGACTCTTAAGGAAGTGTAGTGTTATGAAGGGGGAAGAAGGAACAGAGTGAGTCACATGGGGTGCAGGATTGAAGGGCAGGGTCATGGAGGGGGCATGGAGAGGGAAAAGCAACATGAATCTGCTGCTGCAGAAGTTCACATGGACATAAAATAGAATGACCTCTCATGGGTGACACTGCCCCCTGTGAGACACCATAGGCTTGCAAATAAAATACTCAGTGCCAGGAGTCAGTTGCCTATTGAGGAGATGATTCTTTTGATTACCTGAAAAATTAAATATTTTTGTATAGAGAGACATTCCCCAAATTAAGATTATTGACAAAAACAAGCACAAACACCCTTTACAAGATTAAATCTCGTTATCTATTTAAAAAACTTCCTGACTGAGATTATTGCACCTCTTTCCCCCCCTCCTCCGAAAATGAGCAAAATTCATTTTTTCTTAAGATTAGCGTTAAGGTATTTGAAGGCTAGATGCTAATTTTTATGTTCACACTTACGGCAGAGAGACTCTGCTGCTCTCGAAAAGTATATATGCCTTAACCCTGTTTTTTTGGAACAGCTAGGAGGTTGGAAGCAGACGGTGAGTCCCAGAATTACAGAAAGGGCCGCAGCAGCAGGGGTTCAGAACCATCCTCTGTGTGGTTTCCAGAGGTGCTTGGTTGTGGTCGGCTCTTACAATGGCAGTGGCCACACACGCCGATGCTGAGTAAACGCTCCATACCCCTTAATATCAGGACACAGAGATAATTTGCCTGCCATTTGGTTTTATTATTGCTTCATCTTCCTCCTAATAGAGTCTTGGGTATTATTTTACCTTATTTATTGCTACGCGTGAAGCAGTCTTAACAGCTCACACTCCATCGCTGCCTTGTCTAGTTCTTCTCATGGGTCATTTGTGAGGAAATGGTGAAAATTTAAACTATATATGTGCCCAAGCCTTAAATTCTCTCTAAGAAGAACTCCATTTGTTTCTTATAAACCTTCCCATGGATTTTTGCTCGCTATAATTAAATTTTCTAAGGGATTTAATGTGATCAGTGGGATAAGCATGAATGCTTGCCCGGCCCACTTTTGAGAGAGAATTTAATTATATGCTTAAATTGCTGTTTGTCTTCAGTACCCTTTTCTTGCCCTGGAGCTTAAGTCTGTATTTCTGCACCTGTAGTGGTGGCTTGTAACACAGATGCATTTTATCTGTTCTGCACTGGGCTGTGGATACAGCAGACTTAATATTCATTTGGCATTCCATTTAAATGATTTGTGAGCAATTCCAGAGGTAGAATTTAATACTCCTTTTTTTTTTTTCTTTTTGTCCGGAGCTTTGCAGATCACCATTGCACTACGTCTCCAGATCCATGATTACCTCTTAACATATTTGTTCAGCGAATTTTAGCCAGGACAGATTTGAATTACTATGTAACAGACTTAATTAGGGCATAGCTTAGCAAATTGCCTGATGTGCACGCCCCGAGCCCTCTGTCACACTTTCTGTCGTATGCCCGCAGGGATTGCTACGAGGTAATCTAAAAGTCTTATTTCTGAGCAACAACCACCGTGGATAAGACAACTTGTGCAAAAACTGAAAGACACTTCCTCTGTGATCTGAGCAAGAGAGTCTGAAACAAATGAGTTGCAGGAAAATTCCAACTGGGAGACAGCCAGAGCCTCCGTAAACAGTCCCATAGTAACAATGTGACGAGCCTCAAAGACAAGGGGGACGTAGCCCCTGTGTGTGTGCGTGTGTGCGTGTGTGCGTGTGTGTGTGCGTGTGTGTGCGTGTGTGTGTGCGTGTGTGTGTGTGTGTGTGTGTGTGTTTTACCAAAAATGGGATGTGTGTTGTTAAGATAATGAATGTTGGGTGATGTGTTATGTATGGCTTTTTGCTCGCATGGTCCACAGTCTTTATGTCTCGTTTGAAGTCTTGCTTTCTAATAGAATAGTGTTGGAAATGTGGTCCCTGCAGCACTACATGCAGATAGGAAAGCTTGCAGATATAAGTATTACATAGACAAACACAAATGAAAAGCAGAATCCAGATCATTTGTTAAAACAGAGTGCAACCATGGTGACAAAATGAATTAATATGTAATCAGACACAGACCATGAAAATCCTTTGTGTTCCAGGAAAAATAAGGGCTAATAGTTGATATAATCTCCGTGGGAAAGTACCTCGGGTCAGAGCTGGGGTCCTGAATCTTTTCATTAACTCTACATTTTTTTTTTCTTAAATTCTTACTGTCTGCCAGGATTTTGCTAGCTGAGAAAGTGGGATTGTGGGGAGGGGATTGCTAAGCCCAGCACACTTAAAGCCAAGAAAGAAACAGAAGTGGAATCTGTCCTTACCAGTGTTACTGTTAACACAAGGAAGAGAAATGCCTGCCCTGTCTGAGCTGCGAGGCTGAGGGCCTCTTTTTGAAGGAGATGTAGGCTTCACCTGGGAGACAGGCAGGAGAGCACGGGACGGCAGTGCAGGCACCAGGTAGATGGAAAGTCCATGGCAAAGGTGTGAGCGATTGACGTGCGGTTTGAGCAGTGCATACTAATGCGCATGCGCAGTGAACGGAGCTCTGAGCGTGCGCAGTGAAAGAGCTAGGTGTAGGCCAAGGCAGAGAGGTTGATTTTAGACTCACGTGAGTGCTAGGTAGCTGTGAGTAAATGTAGCAGCCGTTTCCTCATTCCTATAATGGTCCCACTACCCTCACAAAGAAAATCTTGAGGACCAGTGAGTGTATGTCTACTCAAGTACCCAACTCAGTACCCATCCCACAGTGGACACATATGGGAAGTCTTGTATTTAGAGACAAAGTGATAAAAGTTAACACATTTTACTCAATGGTAGGCCATGTATCCCAACGCCTTGTATAGAAACCTCATTCTGTAGACACAGAATCCCAGAGCTACACTGGCTGAGTAAAGATTATCATCACATTAGGGTAATCCTCTGTTCTTGTCCAACTTCATGGCTGACCTACAAGGAGAGATTATGATATTCTTTAGGGACTAAGTGCTTTTCTATCTGAAATAGTGGTTGTAGCTGTGATTACTTCTCGTTGATTATCTTGAATACTTGAGCATATATTTGAAATTTGAAGCTGCCGGTGTGAGCTGCCTATTTTCTGCCTTCTATTCTGTATGTAATTGCATTTCTAAACTCTGATTTCTCAGTAAAGGAAGGCAGACTGTGTGACCCAAAACTCTAATCTGCATCAAAACTGCCCTCTTGGCACATGTACAAAAATCCAATTAGTTTCCGAAGGACAAATTGTCTTTGGGGACTGAACTGATCTAAAATTCATGACCAATCTGGAGGAAAATAGTTCTCTAGGAATTTTCTTTTTAAATCATAGATGATATACATTCAGGGGTGTGCGAAACTAACGCTAGTATAAATGAATCTGGGTTACTCTCCTAGGTTTGTTTGAGAGGTCTGTGTTTTTACTTGGAGACGCCAGGCATCTCTAAGAGAAAGCAGTAAGGCAGTCTTTGGGTATGACTATTGGGGTCGATCGGAGCTATGGTGACTGACGATCATATGTGCTTAATTTCTTGCTATAGGTGTTTGCCAACTTGTTAATAAGATGGAGGAGAATACCGGCAAGATTAAAGCTTTCAACCAAAATGATGAACAATTCCTGGAAGCTTTTGTCATCTTCTGTGGCTTGGGGATCCAGAACACACAGATGTACGAAGCGGTGGAGAGAGCCATGGCCAAGCAGATGGTGACATTAGAGGTGGGACAGAGCCTGTGGGATTTGCTCTGCCCAGGCACATGCTTAGCGTCTCCTCCCAACACTCATAGGATGAAAACATGCGGTTCTCATGATGATGTCCGCATGGTTATTTCAAAGCTAAAGAAAGTAGATTCCAAATATTTAGACTCTTTCCAAGGCTCATATGACCAAACCAAGACTCTGGTACATCCCCTGCTTTTTCTGCATAAAGCAGTGTTTGCCTTCTGTAGACCATTCTTGGGGATACCTGCCATCCCTGAGGCTGTCTCTTCCCTGTTTATCTCCCTCTTGCGTCTCTCTATGAGGATATCTATTTTTTTTTTAAAAAAAAAAGCTTTTTAAAAAATCCCCTACCAATGTTGGAGAATTGAAAGTAAGGAAAAGGAAAATTTAATAAAGGAAAATCAGTAAATGGAGGAAGCAGATGTCTCCCACTCACTGTTTGGGGACTTTGCCTTCTGACTCTTCTGATCCAGCTGCTTTTCTGGAGAAGCTGCAAATATTATCACCTCTGTGGACTAGAACCTTACATTTTTTTATTTAAGTATAAAATAAACCTTTCAGTACAACCACATCTCTGGTTTAAAGGACATTTCTAAAATTGCTCCACATTGCTTAGAAGTTACCCTTTTTGAAAATGAGAATTATGATTCTTATCTCATTAGAAGGTTTAAAGTAAGTCCAGCCCATGAGGAAGCACTGGGTCCTTCCATGAGCTTAACACCCAGTGTTTTCAGAGGTTGCTTTACCTTCTCTCTCCTCGGCTTGTAGACTCTAAGAGCATCTTTAAACCTGTGTGACTGTACATTACAGAGAGAATTGGATAGTTATTACAGGTTTCACCTGAGAACCATTTCTAAACCACTTTTTTTTTCCCCAAATAGGAACTTGTTTCCCAATAGTTTCACCAGTAAAACTCTGGCAAGTCCGTTTCTGAAAAAAACAGTTCAAAATAAACTTGCTGCTGTGTGTGAGCCAGTGATCCTTTCTAGAGTGGCTTATAAATAATGTGTTTGTTATATCAACAGTGTCAGAATGAAAGTTTTAGGATTCCCCTTAAAAATTAAGGAGTGTAACTTCAGAAACACGCAATGGACCCTGAATGGAAGTTCACTGTGTTGATGAAAGCCATAACTGAGAGTTGGCAGTGAGACATCCTAGTTACTTCTCTCACAAGTTGGAGCAGGATTCCAGCCGGATGTTCCCTGCGCATCAGTCATCCTGCCTGAGTAACCTGAGTTCCTGTTTTACCCACAGGTCCTGTCCTATCATGCATCAGCGGCGGAAGAAGAAACAAGAGAGCTCCAGGCTTTAGCGGTAATTCTCTTCTTTGGAAACTCACTGACTGTAGCCATATAATTAATATACAAGTGCTTTTACTAGTGGTAAATATTTAGATGGATACAGAAATTATTTATGTTGATCAACTGTACCTTCGTACTAGGGCACAAAGTCACTGATCATACAAAGCACCAATGGTCTATGTTGACTTTGTCATGCTATTAATCTTAGCCTGACTTTTGTCCCAGTGCTTGGTACAGACTTCACATCTTCTATTTCACCAAAATTAACTGTTTTCATGTACTGGGGAGATTGAGATGGGTGGTTACAGGTGGTTGGTTGTCAACAGTAACCAGCTCGTCGAGAACAGACAGCGGTCTGATCTCTGACCATGTGGTTTATGGGAGGGTGTTTGAAATCAGGATCAGATAAGGTTAGTTACTGGAGTCATGTCATTATTCAGGATGCCGTGAGGGGAAAGCAGGCAGACGTGTGAGCACACATGCCAGGTATTCTGGATCTTGGTTGGGAACACTTTGGTACACTTTGGTAGTGGTATGTGTAAATCTGAAGCACTTGCACTTAATAATGCACACTTAACACGCTTGCAGTACTCTGACTGTACATTGTTGCTGTGAGGAGACAAGGATTGTGCACAGGAGTGGGAAGCTTGAACTGGTCATAGAAATTCTCTTCCATTGTTATGGACACCATAGCTCACCAGAAAATAACTTTCTCATGCTTTATCAACTCGTTGTCATAGAAACTCCAGCTGGGTTGTGGAGACCACCCTGGTGCCTAGAAAAGCCAAAGAACTTCAAGTTCAGAAGGCCATGCCAGTAGAAGGAGACAAGCTAACTTGTGATTAGGAACATGAGTCATCTAGCAAGGACAGCAAGAGAGTCATTAGGTCATTTTATCTGACCGGTCACACAGAGTTTACCGAGGTATTGAGTTTAAAGTATCGTTTGCCTTGGGCTTGAGATTTTGTTTTTGTTTTTTTTGTTTTTTTGTTTTTTTTTTTGAGACCAGAGCCAGGGTCTCACATGCACTAGCTCAGGATGGCCTGGAACTCACGTGAACTCCCGAAATTCCACTTGCCTCAGCTTCCCAGATCCTAGAAGTATAGGTGTGAGCTACCTCACCCAAGTTAACTGGCACATTGCCTAGTTCACCAACAAGATCTAGATTTCAATTCGATGTGCACTGGGAACAGGAAATGGTTCTGTGCTTTCAAGCCCTGCAAGTTAGAACTTAATGCTAAGGTAAAGGCGGAGTAGCACCCTGCTGTGTGTCGTGTAAACCCAAAGAGCGAATGCAGGAATTTCTAAAGACAATGCTAAAACCATCACTGGGGCATATTAAACTCCGTTTTACACTTCAGAAGTAGGAGAGTCCTTCACAAAAGTCCGAGCTTGGTTTTTTTTCCCCTCAATTATGCTTATAATTTTAGCAAGAGAAAAACACCGTGGAATAGCTGGAAATTGCCACACTGCATATTGTTCAGAACCATCTGTTCTTCCATTTGGAAAAATAAATGTCTGCCGGCTGCGCTGGAGAAGAGGGTTGCATCTTTTGTAGGTCAAGTAATTTATTTAAATTGGTTGGAATTCAGCAACTGATTTCAATTCTAGTTTCATGTCAACCAAATAAAAATTCTTTTCAGCTCCAGCTACCCAGGTGTCTGTGTCACCCGGGATGTCCCCAAATCACTGTCTTTGCTATGTGTTTGCTTGTTCATCTCCATTCTAACTGTAAAATAAATTCAAGAGCTGTCGGTTTTTTTTTTTTTTTGAAATTTTGCTCTTAAATAATATTTGTACCAAACGTGTAATCCTGTATCCAGAGAAATTCCCTAGTCATAATGAGGTAATTGATACGAAACTCAAACACACTGTTTTCTTTCTTCTTCTTTTTTTTTAACTTTTGGCTTAATTTGATATTTTTTTTAATCCCATTTCAGTCTGGCCTTCTCTTGGATTAGCATTGGGTATTAAGACAAGGCCTTTCAACTGAGCCCATTGTCATCTTTCTGATGATCCCTAGTCACAGGTTTCTGAGAAAGCAATAAAAAAGCCCAGTCACATGATCATGGTTTTAAAAAGTTAATTAAGATACTAGAATACAGGGTAGAAAGATGACTTACCAGTTGCGAACATTAGCTTTTCTTGCGAAGGACCTGGGTTTGGTTCTCAGTACCCTTGTGGTAGCTTTCAACCATCTATAACTTTAGTTTCAGGGATCCAGTGCCCTCTTCTGGCCTTTTCAGGTTCTGAGCACACAAATAATACACATTTACAAATATAGGCAAACACTTATACACATAAAATAAAAGTAAATAACCCTATTAAGGAAAGATACCAGAATAGATCTTAAATATATACCTCTTCAAATGAGAACTACTCTGAAATTCTTTTAGGCATTTTTATTGACTTTCTATCAAAGAGAAATCAAACAAAAGGACTTTATAAAACATTAATGCTAATTGAGACGAGTTGAGATTTTCTGGATGATCAAGTTTGGAAGCTGCCTGTCTTCTCAGACTTGTATTAATAATGTCTTGTGTGTGGATGAGGAACCTTTCAGCAACAGTTGGCTGTCAACAGTTGTTTCTGTTTATTTTGGGCTTTAGAGCTGAGATTTAAAATCTAAGGCAGATCGAATATCCTGATATCTATCAATTTTACTGTATATGCATATGTACATGTATATAAAACACACAATCAAACAGATTGTATAGGCCTGTGCCCATATCTTTAGTTTCTGCTGAGAGAGAACTAAATGTCTGAGACATTCCAAACCACAGGTGAAATAGAATCTTTTTAAAGAAGCCTTCACCAAAACCAAGAAACTTAATAATTTTTAGATGATTATAACATTTATTCTACCAAAGTGTATTATTTTTCCATGCTCACATGCTTAATGGTTTTCACAGAAACAACACACTTGAGAAATATGATAAATATAAAAATATATGAAACAGTTTTTAACTGTTGATAGGTCCAGACTTCTTACGGGGTTATTATAGTCTCAAGCAAATATGACATCTCTGTGCCTCGCTTCATCTATAAAAGAGGAGAAAGGGAGCTTACCCTGCAGGGTTGCAGTAGCTAGTGTTCCCGGTGCCTGTGTCTCCATGGACTTCTAGTTACTGTTGGTAGTTGTAGCCATGTTGAGATCCCTGTGGCTCTGTCATGTAGCAACTTTGTTTCACAGGTCCTATACTATAATAAGCACCTCAGAAATTATACACAGAGGTAGGTAGAAAACTTCCGGAGGGGGGAATTGATCTTGTGTTTTAAGACTAAATTAAAATCAGTTTATAAACTGTAACTAGTTCTCTACTTGTTGAAGATAACCTAAAATGGACTATTCCAAGTGAGTTTCTACCATGACTGCACACAAGTAAATACTCAGGCCAGTTCTTTCTGAATTCCCAGTGTCCTTGAGCATGAAAACATCAAGCTTATTGATACGCAGACAAACTGACACTGATGTTTAGAATTCTACATGCAGTATTCATGATGCAAATGAAAGCAAATGAAAATCCAACTGTAATTTTAATTTTTCCAGAGGAAGTAAGATGACTAGGAGACCTACAAGAGAATCAGCCATGTATACAAGGGTGTGTTGTTCCTATAGCACTGTGGTTCCTTACTAATACTGACATTTGTATTCCAGTGGTTTGTAAGCTAAGTTCATAGGAAATATGCCTGCAAGGTATAGAAAACTGATCAAGTGGTTGGTGAATTTAAAACCCTAGTCTTTCCCTCCTAGTCTATGCAGGTACTGTATTAGGTTCATCAACTATACCAAGGGTGTATTTGTGTACAGATATGTATGTGTATGTATGTGTGTATGTATATATACATATACATATATATATATATATATATATATATATATATATATATATATAATGTTTATAATATATGACTATATTATATAATATAATCACAATGATAATAACTTTGACTATGAGAGAACTCAGGCATTTTGAAATGATAAAGGTACTCTTTTCTGAAAGATTTGTACCTATGAAGCTATGCTTGTGTCTCCATTCCATCTCTTGGTGCCCCACTTCCTCATAATCAGTGTTCTGACTTAGACCTGGGAGAGGCAGCAGCTCGGATCTCAACAAGGCTTTCAGTTCATCAGCCTGCTGAAGAGGCAACTGGAGTTTGTCTCTATCCAATTCTACTGTTCATACATTCTCTTGTTTTCTAATCATGGTTTGAACCAAAAGTATGTTCAGAGCTTTCTCTCTCTCTCTCTCTCTCTCTCTCTCTCTCTCTCTCTCTCTCTCT